TATAAATTTTCATGCTGAATACTAATCTTATGTATGTGTGGATGTCCTCTTATGCCATACGAGCTTCTCAAGTATCTTTTTAATTTTCCCTTTTTTTTTTTTTTAAATTGGTAAAAGAGGTATATGTATATAACCTTGTCCCCTTCTTGTTAGCCTTTAATGCAGTGTCTAAACATATTTGAAATACGTTTTCCAAAGCAAACCTGACTGTTATTTGCTGTGTTCCTCTTGTAGCCAAATCTCTAGATGAAACTTAAGAGAAACTGGAACAGTGCTGTGTAGAATATGATTTATATTGGCATAAATGGATTTTAAGCTGTGCATAAAGGACAGACAGCATAATGTGTGCTTTTGGCAGGTGTCTAGCACAGGTTAGGAACTACGAGAAAGCTTTCAAGGAATCATTTAGGTTTCAACAGATCTGGAAGATCATCAAGTCCAGGCATTAACCCAGCACTGCCAAGTCCACAGCAATTTAAGCCAATACATTAACTGCAAAAGGAATTGAAAAAAAAATCTTGTAACTAAGATCACATAAAACAAAGCTACTATGCAATGCTAGCAGTTTAGAGAGAATGTATGTTGTGAAATGAATCATGAAATGCAGCATAAACATGAAAATTATGATGGAACAGTAGGTGCTTTGACACATTCACAGACCATTTCTATCATTAAATTTTAAATTTAAAACATGAGTTTGAGTGTAGCAATTAATGAGGTACTGTGACAGTATTGAGAAATTGTATAGGATAGAGAAAGACTATAACTCATGAAGTTTGAATATACAACTTAACTTCAGAAACATAAATGAAAACTGCTGGATTTGAGCTGAGGCTTTACAGCCAGACACCAGTATTTTTGCTCTTTATAAAGAACTGAGGTCACTTTGCAATAGTGGTAGACTACCTTTGGTTATCTTAATCTGTTATGTGATTGCCATGCAGATATAGGAGAATCTTTGTTCAGAATCACTGATGTTAACATCAGAGCATTGAACCGTGGGCTCATCTGCAGATGCCCTGAAACTTCCTTTGAAACATGATCTTTGCTATGATTTATTTCTTTTATAGCTTAGCCATCTGTTATTGTTACTGAAATAAAAATCAAGTTTTATTACTAAATATTTCTTAGCTTTCTCTTTTTAATACTCACAAGATGTAGGATGTATTTGACTTGCGGTTCTGTTTTGGACTGGGTTTGGGTTTTACGTTTTAATTTGTGCTTCTGAGGGTATCAAGGTTTTTTTTGGAGCGGTTTCCTCACAGTGAATTTTAAGTCTGTAACTGAAGGAAGAGAGCAGAGGCATCTAAAAATTGCCAGAGCAGGTAGTCCTTGAGCTGGGTCCTGTTCTGTTCCGCAGTATTCGTGGACTGAGAACATCTGTGCCGTCATCCACCGCTGGTTCACATGAATTTCAAGTTGATGATGCTTACCAAGGGGAATTCCAGTGCAAGCTTCAACTCCAAACAAGCAATTTAAACATTTGCTCTGTGAAAGCAGCAGTGGGTTGTGTTTTGAAGATTACTTTAACCTGGTTGCCCAATATTTCACATGGAGTATGTGAATCCTGTGCAAGCTTTCACTAATAAGTATGCTTTGGGAAGTAATTATTTTTGAAGTTCCCTGATAAGCTGAGGTGCCCATTGAGTACACAGAAAGCTATTTAGATTCTTAGTACAAAGTTGTTTTCAATTATTTCTTATTGCTCAATGTTTTCAGTTCTTAATAAGCAGAAGAACCTGAGTGTTGGAAAACCTAAAAAATCATTGTTCATGTAGCAAATCTTGACTGACAATCATTGACAAGTCTATGCTTGAGTGTAGAGGCATCTTAATTAGTTCAGTCAGGGTTGGGAAGAAGACATTGGTTTCATACTGAAGTTAATGATTAGCTGTTCTCATCTGAAATCTGTTTTCATGTGCTGCTGAGTTAAGCAGCATCAGTTCAATGTGAAGTGGATGCCCAAAACACAGGGCTTATTCAGTGGTTAGCCAGTTTTTGTTGTTTTTTTTTTCTTCCCGAATTTCATTATCCACAATGGTGTCAAGTTTACTTAGTGCATCTTTTATATTTGGGTACCATTTGAGTTATGTCAACTTTGGGCTTTTCCTCTGACAAACTGAATGATGCTTGGGTTTGTTCTGAAAATGAATAGCTGCAGTTCAGATGATTCACTGGCCCTCTCTGATGGCTATAGACATTTTTCCATTTTTGTTCTCCAACTGTTGTGACAATTCCTTGAGTATCTGTTGTAGTTGGCCTGAGATATTGGCATGTGCTGTGGCCTGTTTCTGCTGTGGTGAAGTTGGGCTGCAAGTCAAGGGGAGTGCAGATGTGTGTAAATGAGATCCCAAGGATAGGATGCATTAAGCTTTCTTCTGACTCCATAAGGTAGTTTAAAAAATGAAGGACGGGGAACAAACTCAAAAAACAAAAATGTAAACAAAATCCACGAGCTATTAACCCATTGAATAAAGGTAATTTTCCTGCTCAGAGCTGCTTTTCTCTGTAATATAACATTACATACCTGACTGCCTCAGAATCACAAGCAGTTGAAAAATGCTGGGTCTGTATTATTCAATTTTCACCACCTATTAGTTTATGTAGTATACATGTCTCATCTTGTGCCTGTTGGTGGTTTTTCTGTATTAATCTGCAGATCCAAACCTCAGTCAGAAGGAAGTTCAGAGAGAGAACCCAAGTCATTCACTCTGAATCTGACAATAGACAGTTGTTCATTTAGGTACTCCTGCATCTGAATTAGGGTGCATCCAAAGTACAAAAATTAATTGTGTAAAGAATCCATCATGCCATTAATTTCACATCTGGCCTTTTGTAATGCATCTTTACTGGTGTTCCCTACTGACTGCTACAGATCTGCAAGTCAATTTCTTATCCATTTATAAAAGTGCTTTATTATATTGCTTAGTGCTTAGCTCTAAATTTAAAATACCATGTGATGCGAAGTCACACTGTGCCAAAAAAAAAAAAAAAATCAAATACCTATCAGAGTGCCAGTATAAACCAAGCCAATCAAGCCAAGCATCAGCTGTGCTCAGTCTGATCTGTTTTGCATGATGCTCATGAGTACTAAAAGATAGAAATCTAGTTAATGGATTCCTGTGCTAAAATCTCTCTGCCTGTTATTGATGATAGTCCAACTGACCTATAATTCTCAGCTTTCCTGCCTGCTTCCCTTTTGCCTAATGGTTCTGCTCGGCCTCTTCTCTCCCTGTGCCTTCATTACCACAAGAGTCCTGTAAGGCTTTGTTAATAATTAACTTTCACTCATTCATTGAAGCCTTCAGGACAAACCACCCTGAGCATCAGCACACTGTTCTTGCAGGTGGTAAGTGCCTGTGTCCCTGTGCAGCATTGTGTCCAGAAAGATAGGAGGAGCTAAGCTTTGCTTGGCTCTTTTGTAGTAATTTCATCAATTGGAAATATGTATATATTTGTTTAGTTATGAACTAGTACTGTTAGGATACACTTTTAAAAGGTCCCTACTTTTGCTGCTGTAGTGGGATTTCTTTTCTCACATTTTAATATTTATTTCTATTGTCTTCTCATTCTAATGAATTTAGACTTGTTGTTTATAAAAGCTCAGTTAATTAAGTTGGACTTTCATTCAAAATTATCTTAACCAGAGCTCTTGACTACCCCAAAAAATATTATTTTTAGGTAGAACTTTTTAGTATTCTTAACACTTTGTCCTGTATTATTTTTCTTGCACTCTTTTTCAGGAAATAAGCTTTTTACGGTAGTGGTGGGTCTAAACTTTGGTTTCAGTTTCTCTTTTTGCTATGTCAGTCATGTTCAGCCCTGACCTTCAGGGGATCAGTGCTTTTTCACCCTGTGTTTGATTTTTTTCTGCTACTTTGTCTCAAAGCACAAATTGAGCCATTTGATGTCATGAGAAGGGGAAAAAAACCAACCATATTTAAAATATGCCTGAGTGGGTGAGTTTTAGGGAATTGCAGCAGCTCTTACAGAGACAGTGCTATTACCCATCTTTTTGTCCTGGAGTACTGGTGGTTACTGCTGAGAGAGTGAGGGGAAGCTGAGAGTCAGTGGGCAAAGACAAAAGCAGATGCTACTCAAAGAACCCTGGTCAAGGGGAAAGCTGCTCTGAGAGGGATGCATGCACTGGAAAGAATGGAGAGCTAAATTTCTGCAGTTGTGACAGTGTCTGACAGTCACCTTTTTGCTTATGATCGGTTCTCTGGGCTGTGAAGAGTTGGTTTCACTACATTCTCCACTCTGCTTCTTGCCTGTTGGTGCTGTAGATCTTCAGCGCCTTCCCTTGATAATGTTACACTATTTTTCCCTTGGAGCTTTATGAGATACTGTAATACTCCTTAGCTTCTCCTTTAATCTGTACTATTAAAGTCATTATTTCACTATCATTAAGACAGTGGCTAATGATGTGTGCAGCACACTGAGGCTGTCCAAGAACAATAGTTTTCTTTGTTAAGCAAATGGTGTTCAGTGGTCACTTGAAAATGCCTTTTCTGGAGGTCAGCATGCAAGACTTGAATTTTTTTCATGTGCACATTTATGTGGTTGAATTAGAATCTTGTGTGATTTTCTTGTTAAAGCAAAGTGAAATGCAAGTGGAAGAACTTGCCACTGGTATTATATTGCAACTTTGACAGCTTTGACTCTTTAGTAATTAAATTTATTCTGGAATATATGTCCTTATGGATTATCTAACGTGGCAGCCTTTTTCCCTGAAAACACATTTGTTGCCAAATAATGGCGTTCCCTATTTACTTATATGCCTAGAGATAAATCACAGCTCTGCATTCTATTTCTTTAATGTATTTTTCAAAAGTCACAGTGGTGTATAGATCCAGAACTATGATTATGAAGTAGATTTACAAAAACAGTATGTCAGGAGCCAGATGTGCATTTGCTTTTCCAAGGTTAAGTAACATTGCATTTAAGACCCCTGGTGCAAAAGAATAAATTTTCATAATCTCTCTTTTCTTTTAAAACAGACTGGAGGCCAAGAACAGAGTGCAGCACTGGCTGTAGGTAAGAACTGAAACTTAACCTTGGTGAAAACACCTCTGAAAAATAAGCAAAACTGTAATATATTAAAGGGCATAAAATGGGACTGTTTGCATATTAGCAATTTTCTCTTCAGGAACTCATTTCCCCTAATTTCCTTCTGTAACTTCTGAAATTTGTGGTGTTCGCTTCAGGATCAGGAAGTGCTGATCTGTAGCTGAATTTATGCCTCTCTGATTGAATTTTCTAAACCAGGCTGCAAGGGTTTGGTTTTTGCTTGCACTGCACCTCACCACAGCCTGGTAATGATTTTGAAAACTCTGCACCATATGAAGTCCCATTGTTTCAAAGAAGGTATTTTTGGTGTGCAGAGAGCTTGGCCACATTTGTGAATGCATCCTGGAAGATTATGCAACTTCATGAGAGAGATGAATGAAGAGAGAATGTTTTGGTGGTTTTTCTTCCTCAGTCTCTTTAGTAAAGATACTGTGTAACTTTAGTCCTGAACCAGATGCCTTATGCCAGAAACCAGTACTGAACCAGCTTGTAAGACTTAAGAGGTAGCACGTGCTCATGTGAAGGTTTTAGCTCTTAGTTTTTTTAATCTGTTGCTTGTTACTGGAGCTACTGCTTGGACTGTCTGTGTTATACTTTGTGTTTATTGTGCATTGCCAGCATAACTATCCATCTTCTGTCAGATTGGGAAGGTAATGGTACCAAACGTGAGGTAGGATTTTTTTTTTCTTCTGTTTTTGATTAATCATCAAAAAGCCCTTTGATGAAATTGATTTGTGTGGTGTGTTGACCCGGACTGGATGCCAGGTGCCCACCAAAGCAGCTCTGTCATTCTCCTCCTCAACTGGACAAGGGAGAGAAAATAGAACAAAAGAAGAGATCACTCATCAGTTACAGTCATGGGCAAGCCAGCCTTGACTTAGTGAAATTCATTGAATTTATAACCTATCAAATCAGAGCAGGTTAATGAGAAGTAAAACAAATCCTAAAACAGAGTTTACTCCCACTCCTCCCTCCTTACCAGGCTTAATTTTATTCCCAATCTTCTGCCTCCTTCTTTGTGCCTCAGCATAGAGAGATGGGGAACAGGGGTTACAGTCAGTTCATCACGTGTTGTTTCTGCCTCTGCTTCCTCCTCAGGGAGAGGAGTCCTTACCCTGCTCCAGTGTGGGATCCCTCCCATGGGAGACAGTCCTGCACAAGCTTATCCAACATGAGTCCTTCCCAGGGGCTGCAGTTCTTCATGAACTGCTCCAGTGTTGGTCCCTTACGTGAAGTGCAGTCCTTCAGGAACAGGCAGTTCCAGTGTGGAGCCCCCATGGGGTCATGAGTCCTGCCAGCAAACCTTCTCCAGCCTGGGTTCCTCTCTCCACAGGGCCACAGGCCCTGCGAGGAACCTGTTTCAGCGCAGGCTACCCATAGGATCACAGTTTCCTCCAGGCATCCCCCTGCTCTGGCATGGGGTCCTCCCACGCTGCAGGAGGATCTCTGCTCCTCCATGGACCTCCATGGGCTGCAGGGACACAGCTGAGTCACCATGACCTGCGCCAGGGACTGCAGGGGAATCTCTTCCCTCTCCTTCACTGACCTTGGTGTCTGTCCCGTGTTCTTGGTGTCTGTCACATATTCTCACTTCTCTGGCCACAGTTACTTCTGTGCCATAACTTTTTTTCCTTCTTGAATACATTATCCCAGAGGCACTACCACTGATGGGCTCGGCCTTGGCCAGTGGTGGATCTATCCTGGAGCCAACTGGCACTGGCTCTGCTGGACATGGGGGAAGCTTCTGGAAGCTGCTCACAGAAGTTCTCCCTGTCATACCCCCACCACCACAAGCTTGCCACACAAACTTAATGCAATTTGTCTTCAGTTCTGTTGTCAAGAGTAGAAAACGTTTCCAAATGCTGTGTCCACAATTATTTGCATACTCTTTTCAGAATTAAGAATATATGACGCTATAAATATGTTACTAAAGTAATCATACTTACTTTAGTGCATAATTTATGTTTTAAAATATTTTGCAGAATTTTTGGTTTTGAGGATATACCACATTTTTGTTATTCTTAGGAGAGTTTATGATATTGCTGCTTCAGACCCACAGTCCTTTGCTTTACTGTCTTGACTCACTGGGTTATGGAATGAATCTAGCAACTGGGCAAGCATACAGCAACATTTTCCAAAATCTACAATAAACTAATGGAAAAACATCCAGTGCCAGCAGCAGTAGTACTTTTTTCATTGAGTAGCTTTTACTTGCAAAGTCAATGGGTAAGTGTGTTGTTAAAGCTGCAGTTGGAACTAGTGCAGACTTTTAACTTACAGCATCATGTGCATTTGCAAATGATACATTATAAAAGTCACTAGACTGAGTCAGAGCGTGGATCCGTCTAGCCAAGTACAGGCTCCGGGATCACCATCTTACTGCCCTCTGCATGTGCGCACTTGATTTTGCACATCCTTTCACACCCTCCACTTACTCCTCTACTTCTGCTGCTTCTGCTTGGAAAGGTGAGAGTCATCTAGAAAAGCTAGCAAAAGTCAAGGAGCATTGCTGGGAATGGTACTTCCTGCAGGAAGAGGAATGCTGTCCAGAAAATGGCTGCAGAACATGGCAAATAACTTCTGTTTTCTCTGAAGAAACTGTGAATCAACAGTATTTCAGGTATTGAAGGGAAAATGTTTATAAATTAAGGTGATGTGGCATCCACCTCAGCAGAAGTTTTGTTGTCAGACTGCTGATGCTTTTAATTTTTCCAACTGTACTGGACCAAAGTAGCTGCCAAATGCTTGACAGCATCATAAAGCATCAGGGAATCAATCACCATTGTGAAGGGTTGGGAGGGACTGGCAGAAGCCCTACCCAAGCAACATGTTCAATAGGAAAGCATCTGTTGAAGTCACCTTACCTACTAAGGTAGCTGAGCTCCAAAAATAACTGGGGACTACTGAAAACTTCAAGTTTCAAAGAATGAGGCAAACCTAACTAGATGTAAACTTGGAAAAAAACTTAATATCCAGTAAAACCTGAGAGTTCATATGTGAGCAAATGCCTAGGGAAGAATGGGAACAGGGAGACCATGTGGTTCTTCTAGGATGTCAGTATTTTCAGGTCAAGTATTTTTCGGAGCCAGATATGATCATTATAGGTATTCAGTATTCTGTTCTGCTTATATACCTGTTTTTCCCCAAGAACTGCTGCAAACTCTTCATGAAGTGGGATGAAATGGACTTGGAGAATTCACAGATGGACCAGTGCAGGAAGTCGTAACCCTGCATGATATTCTGTATATTTGTTACTGATCTTAATGGATTGTAGGTTGTATAATGCCACTAAAGAATAGCAAATGTTCCTCCATATTTCCTACAGGTGGATGAAAATAAATTGTCTTATGATATCTTAGGCTTATGGGATACTAGTAATTTGATTTTAAGATTAAAAGAAAATTTGAGATATGTTGGGAGGGATGGAAAATGAGATAAAAAGTCTGATATTTATACAGCTAGAGGAATCTGGACCAGTGTAGTCAGGGTTTTTTTGTTTAGGTGGGATTTTTTTAACACTTGGTTTCTAACAGGAAAAACTACACAGGTTCAGTAAAAGTTGATGCTATATCTCATGAGGGGATCTGGAGAAGTAAATGGATGTAACAAAGATGGCTGTAGAGCCTTGATCTTGCAAGTAATCTCTTTTGGAACTTCAAATAAGTACAGCTTGTGGAGACCTATTTTGTCTTTCTGCCCTGCCTGATGCCTGTCTGTCTGTTACTGTTTCTGAAAACAGATGGGATGGGAAGGAGCATCATCCTGCTAGTCATCCTCTGTTGTTCCATCATCATCTTGATGGGCTTCATTAGCCTTCTGTATTCTGCAGACATACTTTGTGTGACATGTGTCTCGGGAAAAGGAAAGTCCACGAAATAATCAGAAAGCCATCCTGAAATATGGCAACCCACCCTTCCGGCTCTGTGATTTGGAAGGCCATAGGAGTTCCCTTCCTCCTTGGTATTTCAGAGCTGGTGTGTCACTGAACTGAGTTCACAGATGGACAGTCAGTGTCAGGTTCATACACACAGGGTTTGTGGTTTAGCACTGTGGCATTCCAGAAAAAGTCCCTTGAGATGGAATGTGTCAATGACTACTAATATCCATCAGCTTTATGACTAGATAATTTGTCATAACATTGTTAGTGTAGGATTACAAGCCAGGACACTGAAGGGGTGCAACAATTTTGGAGCCCATCTAGAGGAAAACATTTTACTTGAGTGTTGCAGAGCAGTGCAGATGCTTGTACACCTTGTCCTGGTGCATTAGATGGCAGCACTGCCAAGGCTGTTGGAGACTCAGTGCAGCTTCATTCAGCTCACTACTGAAATGTGTGGCAGTCTGGTAGATGGGAATTCAGCTACTCCGAAAGAAAACATTTTCCAAGTCAAACTAAGCTTGAGGAGGAGTTCTATGTCACATGTGAAATAGCAACTGAAAAGTGGCAAAGTGGCAATTCAGTTGAACTAGAACAGTATAGTGAAGTTGGAAATTGAAAAGGGTTTTTTTTTTTTTTGGTTTTGTTTTTGTTTTTGCATTTAGTTAAAATTTGAAGATTTTGTGGGTTGTGGGTTTTTTTGTTTGTTTGGGTTTTTTTTAGTTGGGGGTTGATTTTTTTCTTTACACTGAGGTGAAAAGCTGGCAGGAGAAGGACTTAGTAAACAAATTACTGTTGGGTTTTTTGGGAGACAAGAGCTTGAGGGTTTGTTAAATTACAGGCTGACATCCTTGGAATATGAAACTTTCTTAGTAACGTGGTAGCGTAGCACAGTTTTAATAGGCATGCCAACTTCTGTAGATTAAGCAGCTTTATTCTCTGAAAGAATAAAAAATCAATATGTAAATCTACCATAGCTCTTATTAAATGGGAGGGGGTTTGTATCTTTATGCACCTGATAAAAACATTCTCAGCTTACTTTAGAAAAAGACAGAATTCAGGGTCAGCCACTGTTTCTTTCTATGATAAT